AGACTAATAGGCCGATAATGACTGAGCATCTCTGGAGACTCGATTTTAGGAATCAGCGTAACCACTGTTTGGTTCCAGTATTGTAGCAGGTTCCCCGAAAGAAAAAAACTTTGCACTGCCTTGACCAAATCGCTTTTAATCAATTCCCAAAATTTCTGATAGAAAAGAGTCGTCATGCCGTCTTCACCAGGCGCTTTTTCCGGATTCATCGCAAATAGGGCCTCTTTAATTTCCTCTTCCTCCACCATTCGATCTAGATCTCTGTTCATCTCGTCATTTATGGAGACGGGGATGAGTTGAGTTATGCTATCTGCCCCTGTGACTCCTTCGGAAGAAAACAGGTTGTTATAGAACTCCGCCACATGGTTCAAAATATCCTTTGGTGACTGCAACACCCGATTATTAGAATCCACTAGCCTGGTAATCGCATTGACCCTTCTGCGCTGCGTAGTAATTGCGTGGAAAAATCTTGTATTCCTGTCTCCCTCCCTTAACCACATATTCCTCGATTTTTGTTGCCAGAATACTTCCTCCTGCTCATGTGCATCGTTTAATTCCTTTTTCAACCTCTCTTTTGCCTCCCACTGATCCCAGCCCTGCTTCAGCTTAATCTCTTCTAGTTCCTTGTTCAGCTCTGATATTTTCTGTTGGTTTTGGGTTTTGAACTTAGAACTCCACTTCAGAAGGGACACCCTGGTACTTTTTACTTTCTCTTTAACTATTAACATAGGTGTTCCTGAAAAATTTTCTTTCCACACTTTCTCCACCACTTCTTTAATTCCTTCCCTTTTGAGCCACCGCTTATCAAACTTGAATCTCTTGCCCCTCTTAATAGCTTTACCAACTGTATCCACTATGAGCAGCATATGATCAGATGCACTTTTTTCCTCTGTCCAAGAGAAAACCCTGGGATTAGCCATCAACTAGTCAGAAGATCCAAATACCCTGTCCAGTTTGGCCTCCACCCACTCTTCTGCTCTCCTATTGTTGGTCCAGGTGAATTGGTACCCCTCCATCCTCACCTCCTCCATACCCATATCATATATAAATTCATTGAAACTCTCACAGCTACCTAAACTCCTTTCAATGCCCCCTCTCTTCTCCTCTGGTTTGCAAATAGCATTCCAATCTCCCATAATGAACCATCTACTGCCCCATTTCAATTTGTCCATCTGAAGTACTTTCCATTGATTCTCCCTGATTTCCTTAATCACATTCATATATACAAAAACCCCCCAACATCTCTGCCCTTCTTCATCAATAAACTCCACCTGAAAACAAAACTCCCTGCTCACCACATTAATCACCTCTAAACCTTTCTCTCATAACAGTAACAGCCCTCCCCTCAATCCCATTGGTTCAACAATAGCACAGTGATCT